GACAGCCAAATCTGGTTTTCGGTCAGATGTCGACGCACACCGGCCAGATCAACCAGTCTGCATCGTAACGCCAGATTCCAACCAGATTCGACGATGGTCGCCAGAATCTGGCACTGTGGGGTGGTGAGGATATTTTTGTCATTTTACAAAATTTTTTATATTGGAGTGTTTAGTTAAATTAGCAAACCTAAAGGGTTTTTTTTTTATTAATTTTTAAATTTTACCTCGTAATAAGCACCCTACTCAACTACCCAATACTATTTCCAAAATCATCGTATTGTTTTCTCAGTGTTTATTTCGGAAACATATTTCAATACTTTGTTTCGAAGTTTTGTAATTATCAAAATTATATTTTATTGCCCAATATAGCTAATGTAGTAATAAGTTTAAGTAGGGGTGTTCAAAAAAATGCAAAACCGACTGAACCAAAAAAACCGGTTAACCGAAAAACGGTTCGGTTACGGTTCGAAAAATTCAAAAATCGAATTTCCGGTTCGGAAAAAATAAAAGCAGTTAACCGAAACCGGTTTTTTGAACCGGTTTTACAAAAAAATATATTATATATATGTTATATATTAAATAAAAATAATATTTATATATTAAATATATAATAATATTATATATATTATTAAATAAATATAATAATATTTTTAAATGTATTATTAGTAGTGGTCAATGGATATATATGAATGTCTAATTTTTATTTGGATAGTATTATTATATTTACATTTATTAGGAAAAAATAAAAAAATAAGTTTTATAAAAAAAAGGGAAAACCGGTTAACAGAAAAACCGGTTTTCCCTCCAAATCGGTTCGGTTTCAGTTCGGGAATTTTCTCGAACCGAAAACCGGTTCGTTTAAAAAAAGCGGTTAACCGCTTTTGAACACCCCTAGTTTAAGTCCATTTAATATGGCCAAATTGGGCCTGGTCTTGTGTAAAATAAATTTATTAAACGGAATTGGATAAATACTAAATACCTTCCTGATGTATCATGTACATAACTTATGAATATTGAGTGTGTTAGTTTTATTATTTTGAATAGTATTTTAAATTTATTGTTAGTTGAGTGGATTATTATTACGAGGTAAGATTTGAAATTAATAAAAAAACCCTTAGATTTTTTAATTTAGCTAAACACCCTAATAATAAAAAATTTAAAATGACAAAAAACTCCCACCACCCCAGTTGCTAGATTCCCCACCACCACTCGGAATTTGGTCCGAAAATCTTGTTTCATTGCGCATGATCGACCAGATTTGGTCGGTCGTTGCTGCTATGTGCCTTTCCGGCTAGATCACCACGGATCTAGTCGAAAAATGTTAGATCTAGCCGCATTGACGGCCAGATGTTGCCAAAGATCTAGCCGTCAATAACCAAATCTTTGGTCCTGGATTTTGTCAAAAGGCCAGATTGACACACTTTGACTAGATCTAGCCGATAGTGTGCCTTACTCATATTCTAGCCACCTTCTAGCGATAGTTGACAAAATCTGACAATATGGGTGAGTAGGGTTGTTTTTGTTAATTTATAAAAAAATTATTGAGGGTATTTTTAATTAACAAACTTATTTTGGGTTTAAAATAGTTGAATATTGTAAGATAGATTTTAGATAATGAAAAACAATCATTTAATATTTTTTTTAAGGTTGTCAAACAAACGCAGCCCATGATTTCATCTGTGTAAGCAACACAAAGTTATCTACAGCTTAGTGGTGATTCTAGGGATGACTTAAATGGGTTTGGCTTGTTTAGATTGGTTGAGAAAAAAAGGGCTTCACAGGATTGACTTGTCTAGATTGGTTGCGGGAATTATTATTTAAGTTCACATTTTTTCTTTTAAGCTCATATAATAATTTCTTTTAAAAAAATGTGTATATATATATAATATATTAAACTAATAAGCATTAAGATAGACATTTAGTCATTATACATCTCATCTATGAAAACTCTTCCTTCTCAATATCTTGAAAACCGCCTTTTATTATTATTATTATTAAATTCTTTTTGAAATTATGCTTTTATACTTAAATTTTTTAGGATGGAAGATGCAACCAAATAATAGAAATAATAATAAGGTTTCACGATTAAAGACTTAAAAGTAATCGATTTATTACTACTCTGCATTTTATTATTATTTAACCAAGATCTAGATAAGATTAGATATATTATCATCATATACATATATATGTATATGATACCATCATGGAGGATATGCAGTAAATCAAAAAATATAAATTCAAAATGTCATTGAAAATAAATTTGAAAACTTGTATTTGTGTATCCAATATCTTCTAGGAGTAGCTAGTCAGAGACTGTTTTTACATGAGAGAGGCTTTGGTATAAGAGAAATTTGTTACAAAAACCATACCTTGCATGAAGTAAATTACAATATTTATAAACCTTGAAAATACTTTAACTTACAGAGTATTGTTTGGTCACAAGTAGACTTCATGTAACTTTACATGAGCATTGTTGGTCACAATTGTACTTCTTAAGAGTACTGTTGTCACAAGTGAACATACTTTAACTTGGAAGAATGTCTAACCATGTGCCGAAATCTTTTTTAGGTTTCTCTATTTTGCAATCTTGCGGACTTGTGTTTCTTGTTGTTACTTTTCAGTAAGTGTTGGCAATGGTTTGTCTGAGGCGACGAAACTCTAATATTGCATTGACAGAGGATCTTGAATATTTTCCATGCAGATATAATTGATGTTAGTTCCATAAGAATTCTGACTCGGATGTCATTTGTGAGAAGGGACTTTGATAATTTTCTTGACCATCTTCTTTTGGAGAGATGGCGATTTTGACCTGTTTAAGTAAATTAAAGGGTTTTGTAGCAGTCATCTTCATAGCTATGGGTGAGATTGACATAGCACAGAGCCTTGTTGGATACTTCTTCATCTATTCTGGAGTTAGGAACGAATCAGCTTTAGATGCGTATACAAGCACACATACACGCATGCACGCACGCGCACACACATACACACATATATTATTTTGTGGTTTTTTCTTTTCTTGTTAAGTGTTTTTATAGGATTGCTAGCCGTAACTATTAAAATTAGAGATGTTTAAATGGGTCGACTGGTTAATATGATAAATTTATTTGACTAAATATGAGATATATAAAAAAGTTTTTTTTAATCCAAAATTAGCACAATTAAGCATGAAATGTGCACCCATATCGATGCTTTCATTCATCTCAGAATAAAACAAATGACCTCTTTACAATTCTAATTAAAGTAGTACCAAAACATTTTAAATTAACTATTATATGTAGGGTTAAATAAGTGTTTTAAATGAAAACTTAAAATAAAATTAATATGACAGCTACTTTAATTTGACAGTTTATATACAAAAACCAAATTTTCACAAATCTCTGGTCAAGGAACAAGTCTCGTTGAATGTGCTGGGAAGCTAGCGGCGCGGGTGTGTCCCTGACGCAAAAAATATGATGAGGAGGATGAAAGAATCCGATGCTGGGAAGAGTATAGCAGTTACAGAGATCAAAAACACACAGTGGATAAGGGGGAATGTGCTGAAAGAAAAGAACACACACAACGACCACCATACCGAATAACGTGAAAAAAAGATTTGCGGAGTTCAACGCGTCAGCTAAGGCTCATGACACAGAGAGCATACTCTATTCAATGAGCTTATGAAAATTTAACGGTCTGCAAAAAAACTACGAATAACAAGGATTACACTAAAAAACACATAACAGTATGGGGCAGGTTAGATAGGAAAAAAGGACAGCGCGGAATAGGCTAAGGTCATGTGTTTAATTAGAGCGGTTGGCGGATTTAGATTTCAGGCACAAAATTGTAATCAGATGTGCATAAAAGATCTTCAAGATTTATCCATGTATATAGATCGAGAAGCAACAAAAGTTAGTCACACACCCAACAAATATATCTACGTATCGATTAACCCCAATACTAAGGAAAATAACCTATTCAATGCAAAAGTTGTAGAATCGGCCAGAAGAATTTCCTTCTTTTTTATACCTCCAAGTTTGTGGGATTGTTCTTGACAAATGCACAATTCTTGGAGAAGCTCATTGATCATGTTGATAAATATCCCCAAAATGATCCATTTTTGTTTAAGTTCCTATAAAACCATGTTAAGTGAAGATGGGATGCAAATTGTTTTGGGTGAACAAATAAAACTCTTACCAAGGCTATCATCTAGTTTTATTTTATCCTCAAATTTTTGTTAAGTAAATTCATAAATTCTTATATATGCTTCCTTATTTATTTAAAGCATTATTAGTGTACTGAAATTTAGAATATATGACTTAGAACACCTTTTAATGAAGAAATGTTGCATTTTAGCAGAACAGTAAGCGAATTTTTCCCACCCAAGTTTGCCTTAAGAAACACTTCCCCACTTAAAAAGTTTCAAAATACCACTTTCCACCCAAAGTTTATATTTCGTTTAATACCCAAAATACACTTCACTTTCTTAGCAGGCGTTCGACGAGTTACCATGAGCCAAGGTAAGAGGGGTTTCGTAGAATGGAGGCCGGTGGATTAAATGGTGGTGATTGATTAAATATTCATTACTGGAATCAGTAGAAAATCAGCTAAAATTAAAAAACTCTAGATTTACGGTGCTGACAATCAGTAAGAAATCAAAGGTTGGAGTGAGATAGGTTTTGTAGAGTGGAGATTGGAGGTTCAAATGATAGTGACAGAGAGAATTTTTGTCATAAAAATCAGCTTTGGATAATAATATAATATAAATTTTGGGTGAGAAAGTGGTATTTTGAAACTTTTTAGATGGTGGGAAAGTAAAAGTTGTTTACTCTGTAGCAGAAATGTCAAATCAAGTTAACACACTTGGACGGCGTGTCGTATGTGACTAAATCTTGTATAATTTCTTTTTGTTAAAATATTCATGAAATGTTAGGGCCTTTAGGGTATTATCCCAAAAATTTTCATTGTTGGGTTAATATCCCATTTTCATTTCCAAAAGATAAAATGGAACATATATGTATTGGTTGAGAAAAAAAATCTTCCTTTGATTCTTTCTTATTTTCTAATTTTGTAAGAATGGTACATGTTTGCTTGATACAGAAACTATAATTAAATTTGGTTGCTCTGATCAGTTTGTAACCTGAGTACAGACTTGAACCATTTAGCTGAAGTTTTAGGAATTCTTGTCAAGTTGTTTTTGTAATCCACAAAGTACAGTCCAAAACGGACAGTATAGCCAGAGTTCCATTCCCAGTTGTCAAGCAAAGACCAAATAAAGTAACCTCTTACATCACATTTGTCTTGCCTGTAATGTCAATCATTCAGTTTTCTGTTAGCCACCTCAAACAAAAAGTATAGCATCTATTCTTTCGATGATGTTAACTGTAGGAATTCAAGTCAAATTGGTTGATAATTTGCCATTACCTTATTGCAGCAGAAAGGTTTGAAAGATAGTCTCTATGGTATCTTATTCTCTTGTCATCCTGTAAAGCCTTGTCTAAAGCTATCAAGGGACTATTTAGATCGTCCATACCTGTAACCATGAATTGAAACTCATATAACATATCAAAGAGTTCGAATTCAAAGCTTTTGAATACAAAAATACTCACCATTTTCTGTTATAACTACAGGAGGATTCCCATACTTATCTTTAACATATTTCGCCAACTCTCGGATGCCCCGTGGCACGATGTGCAGCCAGCGGGAAGCTGCCTGGAGGAGCAAGTGTATATCAGGCTATCAGCTGGCTTTTATTTGAAACCTATAATTTATATCTTAGACCCCAGTAAGTTGTTTGGACATACTCTTTCTCCGATTGCAATTCCACCACGAAAACCTACAAGTCAAGAGATGAAAGAAGATCATCAGCTTCTTTCAATTAATTTGACAATGTTTAATCTTTGAATGTAAAGAATTGTTGCTTGGTTTCTTACAAGTAGTAATAACAGCAGCATCAGAGTAAGCATCCTGCAGAATTAGTTTCTGAATTCCAGTCCTGTCATTCCGGGCATATAATGTGGTGTAATGATTTAGGCCAATAAAATCCAAGGACCCCATAAGCACTTTGGAAATCTCTGGTGAAATCTTTGGTAGTCTCTCGCCAACAAGCCTTGTCATTGAAAATGGATATTCTCCAAAGAAAAGTGGATCAAGGAACCTGATTCACAATTTTGTTATACTTAAGGAATTGATTCCTCGTAAAGTGTGGTGAATTGGATATTTGCATAAGATAATAGTAATACCATCCAATTCCAAAATCTACTGCTCTTTTTGCTGCATCTTTGTCCTCATCTTTATCAGATATCGGTTCATACCATTTAGCATCAAGTGCTATCCCAATTACACCTCCTTGTTCTTCCTGGAAAATCCCATGTATGAGTAAATTGAAAAGAAAAGCACAAATGTAAATTTAACAGGAGAATCAAAGAGGTATTGTAAAATGCTCCTCTTATTTTTTTCCTTTTTTGTGAAAATTAGTACCTTGAAATTTCTCTGGTAGCTATGATAAGCAGCAGCATGAGATAGCAAGATGTTATGAGCTACAATGTAAGGTTCAACTGCAGACTTTCCTGTCTTACAAAACACATGCCCGAAAATCGAACACCTACCAGGGGCTTGAAGGCCTGTGTCATAACCTTGGATTGCAAAACCATGAGGTTCATTGAAAGTGATCCAGTTCTTAACTCTATCTCCAAATTCTTCGAAGCATGTGAATGCATAACGCTCAAAATCTTCTCTGCATTTACTCGAATGCAATTATGTAAGCTCGGTTTGTATTCTCGAAAACATCACACGTAACATTTCAATGTACTTACACAATTTGACTACTTAACCATCCTTCATATTTATCTTCAAGTGCCTGTGGAAGATCCCAATGGTACAGTGTTACATAAGGCTGGATTCCTGATAAAACAACAATAGCTAAAGCTTCAGAAGAGGTAGAAGTCATGTAAAAAGTAAATTCCAAGTGATATTTCACTGAGCTACCTTTCTCCAGTAAAGCATCTATGAGATTGTTGTAGTAATTTATTCCTTCTTGATTTGGTTCCCCTGTTCCATCTATCAAAGATAAACTTCCGAAGGAGTAAGCCAAAAACAGGCAATAAAGAACAATGGGGAACAAAACTTCTGGACCAGACTTTGAACTTACTTGGAAAGATTCTTGGCCAAGATATGGAAAATCTGTATGCATCTATTCCCAGATCCTTCATCAAATCTATATCACTCTGTAAAGATTTTGTTTTCATCTTTGGTTTGTTAGTAAAAGTCTAGTTACGGGTTTCTATTGACTCTGATATATATATATATATATATAAATATCTGACTATATTCTAGGTTGAATTATTGAATACCTCGTGTGCTTTTTTATATTGTATTTTGTTGGTGACACATCATCATCATTATCATCTAAATATCCTTAATTATTTTTATATTAGTCGTATGATTATAATAACAATTTATCAAATGACGTTATAGATTCTTATCCAAATGATCAAATTGTTTCCCTACATTTTAGGCCAGAAAAACTTCCTTAATGAACAAGCTTATTGTTGTGTTCTGACTTCTGATTATAACTTGATACCTTCCGAAGATGACTGAACATGCACAGGCAATAGAGTTCTATCTAATACAAGTTTTGAAGTCAAATTTCTGAACTTACCTTGAACCGATGATATTGATCAACAGCAGTGTCTGCATTGCTGAAGTCCAAGATTTTCCCTGCAAAAAGAAAAACAGGGAATATGAATATAACAATATTAGTCCTGAAACGTAGTTTTGCAATATTGTATTTGAATTATTCTGACCTGGTTGTCTTGTGAAAGTGTCCCATATACTATTTCCTTTGTTTCCTTCATTTACAGCTCCTTCAAACTTCAACAACCACACGCCGTGAATTATTCCGTTAGGCAATGTCCTTGCCTGAACTTTATCAATACAGAAAGAAAGTAAAATGATACCTGGTAAGCTGAAGAAGCTGTTCCGAACACGAACCCTTCTGGAAAATCAGCTCTACTAATGGATTCAGAGTTCACAAAGAGGTGCCATAAGAGAAACAGGACAAGCTTGATTGTCATAGATAAAACAAAAACAAAAGTTTTACACAAAAAATGAAATATAAGTTCTATTTTAAGATGCTTAAGAAAAGTTTCTAGGATGAATTCAATAATATACTAAAGAAAAGGGGAGAATGTTAGTTATCTTAGTTGTAAAGAAGAAGGATTTGATTGAAGAAAAAAGAGCAAAAGCGACTGCAAGTTATCTCTTGCAGTGCAAGGTGTTCTTAGGTGTAGGTTGGAGTGGCTTGCGGAGGTTGTATTGTGACTCTTTGTCACCGATAGCCACGTTTTCTTTATAAAGAAAGAAGATACAAGAAACTGAGAACCCATAATTAGCGATTGAATATTAAAATTCTGTAAAGAAATTGCTTGAAACTACACGTAAGATTAGATACTGATGATCAAAAGTGTTGCTTCTGGGAATAAACAAAAGGGTGCTAAGGATGTGGGTCGCATCTTTAGGTTTAATGTCAAATTATAGGCTACAGGTTTTAGTTGGTGGGATTAAGAAGAGAGTTGAGTAAACTGTAGATAATCCTGGAATTCAATATTAGTTTACCAAAGTTATTGATTGTGATATTTTGAATCATTAATTAAGACAGAAATGAAGCGTTTTGACAGATGAGAATGAGAGCAGTCCTGTAATTGTCAGTTGATTCTGATTAATTAGTTGTAACTTATTCTGATTTTGATTGATTACTCATGTTTAACAATTCCATTACGATTCTCAAGCTTTGAGTTTTCTAATCAAAATAACTAGATAGTCCGATTGGTTTATTAATTTATACCCTATTCTCAAAATATCTGTTTGTTTTATTATTTAGGAAATATTATTATATTTTATTTAATTACTTTTAGACCCCTAAGTTTATTAATTTAATTAAACACCCATAGATTTTTTTTTAAATTAACAAAAATACCCCCATCCACCCATAGTTACCAGATTCCGAAAACCACCGTCGGTGGTAGCCGGGATCTGTCACAATGACGTACAAACGATCGGAAAAGGCCAGATCTGGCCGTCAACGATGGCCAAAGATATGGCCATCGTTGACCGACGACCATCGACAGCCAAATCTGGTTTTCGGTCAGATCGACGCACGACCGGCCAGATCTAACCAGTCTGCATCGTAACGCCAGATTCCAACCAGATTCGACGATGGTCGCCAGAATCTGGCACTGTGGGTGGGTGAGGATATTTTTGTCATTTTACAAAATTTTTATATATTGGAGTGTTTAGTTAAATTAGCAAACCTAAAGGGTTTTTTTTTTTATTAATTTTTAAATTTTACCTCGTAATAAGCACCCTACTCAACTACCCAATACTATTTCCAAAATCATCGTATTGTTTTCTCAGTGTTTATTTCTGAAAACATATTTCTATACTTTTGTTTCTAAGTTTTGTAATTATCAAAATTATATTTTTATTGCACAATATTAGCTAATGTAGACTGTAGTAATAAGTTTAAGTAGGGTGTGGTCAAAAAAAATGGTTCAAAAAAAAAACGACTGAACCAAAAAAACGGTTAACCGAAAAAACGGTTCGGTTACGGTTCGAAAAAAATCAAAAAATCGAATTTCCGGTTCGGAAAAAAAAAAGCAGTTAACCGAAACCGGTTTTTGAAACCGGTTTTACAAAAAAATATATAATTATATGTTATATATTAAATAAAAATAATATTATATATAAATAAATAATAATAATATATATATTATATATTAAATAAATAATAATAAATTTTAATGTATATAGTAGTGGTCAATGGAGTATATATGAATGTCTAATTTTTATTTGGATAGTGATTATTTATATTTACAATTTAATTTAGGAAAAAATAAAAAAAAAGTTTATAAAAAAAAGGGAAAAACCGGTTAACAGAAAAACCGGTTTTCCCTCCAAATCGGTTCGGTTTCAGTTCGGGAATTTTCTCGAACCGAAAACCGGTTTTGTTAAAAAAAGCGGTTAACCGCTTTTGAACACCCCTAAGTTTAAGTCCATTTAATATGGTCAAATTGGGCCTGGTCTTGTGTAAAATAAATTTATTAAACGGAATTGGATAAATACTAAAATACCTTCCTGATGTATCATGTACATAACTTATGAATATTGAGTGTGTTAGTTTATTATTTTGAATAGTATTTTTAAATATTATTGTTAAGTTGAGTTGGATTATTATTACGAGGTAAGATTTGAAAATTAATAAAAAACCCTTAGATTTTTTAATTAGCTAAACACCCTAATAAAAAATTATAAAATTGACAAAAAACTCCCACCCACCCACAGTTGCTAGATTCCACCACACATCGGAATTTGGTCGAAATCTTGTTTCATTGCGCGATGATCGAGATTTGGTCGGTCGTGTGCGCTATTGCCTTTTCCGGCTAGATCCACACGGATTAGTCGAAAAATGTTAGATCTAGCCGTCATTGACGGCCAGATGTGGCCAAAGACTAGCCGTCAATAACCAAATCTTTGGTCCTGGATTTGTCGAAAAAGGCCGATTGACACAATTGACTAGATCTAGACCGATAGTGTGCCATTACATATTCTAGCCACCTTCTAGCGATAGTTGACAAAATCTGACAAAATGGGTGGTAGGGTTGTTTTTGTTAATTTATAAAAAAATTATGAGGTATTTAGTTAATTAAAAACTTTTGTGGGTTTAAAATAGTTGAATATTGTAAGATATGATTTTAAGAAATTGAAAAACAATCATTTAATTATTTTTTTTGAAGGTTGTCAAACAAACGCAGCCCATGATTTCATCTGTGTAAGCAACACAAAAAGTATCTACAGCTTAGTGGTGATTCTAGGGATGACTTGAAATGGGTTTGGGCTTGTTTAGATGGGTGAGATAAAAAGGGGTCACAGGATTGACTTAGTCTAGATTGGTGCGGGAATTATTATTTAAGTTTACATTTTTTCTTTTAAAGCTCAATAATAATTTCTTTTAAAAAAATGTGTATATATATAATATATTATTTAAACTAATAAGCATTAAGATAGACATTAGTCATTTATACATCTCATCTATGGAAAACTTTCCTTCTCAATATCTTGAAAACCGCCTTTTTATTATTATTATTATTTAAATTCATTTTTGAAATTATGCTTTTATACTTAAAATTTTTTAGGGATGGAAGAGCAACCAAATAATAGAGAATAATAATAAGGTTTCACGATTAAGACTTAAAAGTATCGATTTATTACTACTGCTATATTATTATTATTTTAACCAGAAGATCTCAGATAAGATTAGATATATTATCAATCTACAATATTAAATGTATATGATACCATCAGGAGGAGATATGCAGTAAATCAAAAAATAATAAATTCAAAATGTCATTGAAAATAAATTTGAAACTTAGTATTGTGTATCCAATTATCTTCTAGGAGTAGCTGTCAGAGACTGTTTACATGGAGAGGCTTTGGTATAAGAGAAATTTGGTTACAAAAAACATACCTGTCATGAAGTAAATTACAATATTATAAACCTTGAAATACTTTAACATTACATGAGTATTGTTTGGTCACAAGTAGACTATGTAACTTTACATGAGCATTGTTTGGGCACAATGTACTTCTTGTAAGAGTACTGTTTTGTCACAAGTGAACATTACTTTTAACTTTGAAGAATTTGCTAACCATGTGCCGAAATCTTTTTTAGGTTCTCTATTTTTGCTGATATTCTTGCGGACTTGTTAGCTGTGCTTTACTTCAGTGATAAGTTTGGCAATGGTTTTTGTCTGAGGCGACGAAACATCTAATTATTGCATTGACAGAGGATCTTTGTAATATTTTTCCATGCTAGATATTAATTGATGTTAGTATCCATAAGAATTCTGACTCGGATGTCATTTGTGAGAAGGGACTTTGATAATTTTCTTGACCATTCTTCTTTTGGGAGAGATGGCGATTTTGAACGTTTAAAGTAATTAAAGGGTTTTGTAGCAGTCATTTCATAGCTATGGGTGAGATTGACATAGGCACAAGAGCCTTGTTGGTACTTCTTCATCTGATTCTTGGAGTTAGGAACGAATCAGCTTTAGATGCGTTAACAAGCACACATACACGCATGCAACACGCGCACAAACATACACACATATATATTATATTTGTGGGTTTTCTTTTCTTGTTAAGTGTTTTATAGGATGCTAGCCGTAACTTATTAAATTAGAGGTTAAATGGGTCGAATCGGTTAATATGATAAATAATATTTGACTAAATATGAGTATATAAAATAAAAAGTTTTTTAAATCCAAAATTAGCACAATATAAGCATGAAAGTGCACGACATAATCGAATGCTTTCATTCATCTCAGAATAAATAACGAAATGACCTCTTTAACATATCAAAAAGTAGTACCAAAACATTTATAATTAACTATTATATGTAGGGTAAATAAGTGTTTTATGAAAACTTAAAATAACATAATATGACAGCTACTTTATTTATTGACAGTTTAGATACAGAAACCAAAAATTTCAAAATTCTTTCAAAGTCACGATTCTGGAAGATTCCAGTGTTCCAAAGAAAAAATTAATGATTGAGGAGGTATGAAAGAAGTGGCTGATGATCAATCTAAAACAATAATTATTCTTAGATAGTAGAAAATCTACTACCACCAGTACCAACTAAAAGGTTTGCGTAGTGTCCCATCAGAAACTCATGACAATCGTAATTAGCTTAATTAAAATTGTCGCATCCATTACATTAATTTTTGCAGTTATAGAAGTAGCCATGTTTTGAATGTGATTAATAGAGGCGGTTGGCGGAATTTGTAGATTTCAGGCAAAAATTGTAATCAGATGTGCATAAAAGATCTTCAAGATTATCCTGTATAAGATCGACGAAGCAACAAAAAGTTATACACAACACAAAAATATCCTACGAGGTATCGATAACCCAAAATAAAAGGAAAAACAATTTCATGAAAAGTTGTAGAATCGGAAGTCTAGAGAAGCAAGAAAACTAACTATATCTCACAAAATAAAAAAAATATATATTATTCCTTATATTTATTTTCTAAAACCATTTATTATGAACGTAGCAGCACATGTTAATGCGTGATTTTGACACCAACTAAACGCACGTATGAAATGCTGACTGACTTAGAAAACACACGCGAATGGGGTATGAGAATGGATAAGAGATGGGAAAGATGTTTAA